ACACCAATACTTCAAGAACCAGAGAAACTAAAAACTTTGATTAATCAAATCAAATATTCATAAAGTTAAAAGCACAAAACACATTTTCTCAATAATGAAACTCTCTTTTTCTCATGTACGTACGTACAGTGTAGTACCTTCACTACCTAAACACGACGTCGTTTCTAACGTAAATGTTACCATGTCGAATCGTCAGTGTCGATGCGTACTTACTCTTCCTTCTCCTACAGTTTCTACTTCTCGATCACCGGTTATACCCAAACCGGAAAACTGGGAGAGTTTGTTGCTAAACCAAGATCAAAATTCCGGTGAATTATCATCGTCTGGTTCGAATAACCCGGTTAAGCTTGGCCGGAAATGGAAAGAGTACCAAGGGCTTCAAAATTGGGAAGGTCTTTTAGACCCATTAGACGAAAATCTCCGACGAGAGATTCTCCGGTACGGTCAATTCGTCGAATCGGCTTATCAATCTTTCGATTTCGATCCTTCCTCTTCTACTTACGCGACATGCCGGTTTCCGAGGAGCACTTTGTTAGACCGATCCGGTTTACCGAATTCCGGTTATAGACTAACGAAGAATCTCCGTGCCACGTCAGGTATTAACTTGCCACGTTGGATTGAAAAAGCGCCTAGCTGGATGGCTACACAATCCAGCTGGATTGGTTACGTGGCAGTATGTCAAGACAAGGAAGAGATCTCACGGCTCGGACGTAGAGACGTCGTCATCTCTTTCCGTGGAACCGCCACGTGTCTCGAATGGTTAGAGAATCTTCGCGCCACGTTAACTCATCTCCCTGATGGGCCTACTGGACCGTCTAACTCTGTGCCCATGGTAGAAAGCGGATTTTTAAGCCTGTACACTTCTGGGGCCCACAGTTTGAGAGATATGGTAAGAGAAGAGATCTCGAGGCTACTACAATCTTACGGCGACGAACCGTTAAGTTTAACGATAACGGGACACAGCCTCGGCGCGGCGATCGCGACATTAGCGGCGTACGATATCAAAACGACGTTTAAACGTGCGCCGATGGTAACCGTGATATCTTTCGGAGGTCCACGTGTCGGAAACAGAAGCTTCCGGAGATTACTTGAGAAGCAAGGCACTAAGGTTTTGAGAATCGTTAACTCTGACGACGTTATAACGAAAGTTCCAGGAGTCGTTTTAGAGCAAGAAGATAACGTGAAGATGACGGCGTCAATAATGCCGAGCTGGATACAGAGACGTGTGGAGGAAACGCCGTGGGCTTACGCGGAGGTAGGGAAAGAGTTACGGCTGAGCAGCCGTGACTCGCCGTACGTGAACAGCATCAATGTTGCCACGTGTCACGAGCTTAAGACGTATCTACATTTGGTAAACGGTTTCGTGAGCTCCACGTGTCCATTCAGAGAAACGGCTCGAAGAGTCCTCCATAGATAAAAGGGTTCATTTCGTTAAATTGTTTTTAACATTGTGTAGAGAAAACTAAACCGAGAAAGAAAATCGAGATACGTACCGGTTTGATTCCGGTTAACACATATGATATCTAACTCAGTGGTAGAATAGAAAGTAGAAGGCAGCTCTAAAAGAGAGAAAAATGTATTGAAGT